AAGTCCAATAGGTAGTGTAGCACTAAATTACAATTGATTCTTGGTGCTCTACAATTCATTTCTCTTGTTGCATTGTTCTTTTTCTATCTTGGGCAGTAAGATCATGATAATGACTTCATGGATGATGTGTTGTTTTATTTTTTAACATTTGTACAAGTATAGACACTAATCCTCTTCTTTGTTTTTTTTCTCTTCTTCTTTGTTATATGTGACATCAAATCTGAGTTCTCTTTTGACTCCACCCTTGCATATCGATGAATTATTTCGAGTCAGCCTCATCTTGTTCGAGTTGCTGGAAAGTTAAATTACAGGTCCCGAAAAGTCGAAAGTGGGTTGTATACATGTTGTATACAGCGGTATACGCTGATATTCAGGCCCAAAACATAAAAACACAGGGCTGAGGCGGAATATATACGTTTGGAAGCAAGAAATACCTGAAAAGAGCTAATATATGCGCTCATATACACTGATATACATCCACCGTATACCAAAAACGGGATTAGGGTTAAACCAAAAATTACCAACGAATTTGGCCCAAAAGGAGGCCCAAATTCATTTTCTCCCTTACTCTTTAATTATATAATTGTGATTATTTATTGTTTATTGTTTAACTCTAACTTTATAATCGCAAATCAACTTAGTCGAATTCCCCAAAAGACGAACTATCTCTCTGTGTTGTTTTGTTTCTAACAAAAATCTTATTTTTATCAACTTTTGTATTTTCATTTATAATCTTTAGTCATTTTTTTTTATTTAGTTTAAAAATAGTTTTTTTTTTTCATAAACCAAAAAATGACTCGAATAAAAACCAACTAATTTAGTTTCGCTAAAATTCTTATTACTTGTCTCTAAATCAAATATTTCAATTAAGGTCCCATTTTTCCTAAAAGATAAAATCGCTCTTTGTTTAACTATTTTTTCAAAGTTAATCTAGTAGTGTAAATAAATAAATACTTACTTAGTTATTTTCTCAAAAAGGTTAGTCAATCAATTCAAAAATGATTTTTCATACTTTAATTTATTAAATTGGTTTAATATATTTTAAAATGAACTAAATAAATTCTAATTAGTCTAGTTTTTTTTTTTATTTAATTTTCTAATCACTTGCACTTTAATTCAAATATTTCCCTTTTAGGTCTCTTCCTCTAAAAAGATAGAATAAAATGGTTCATTCCTTAGTTATTTTTCAAACTTAATCAAATAGTGTAAATTATTATATATTTTTATGTTAAATTATTTTTTCTAAAAATAGTCAAATATATTTTAGTCAAGTCGCAGGTCAACCGCATGTTAGCGGACACTTCGAATGCTTAAACCCTTCTCGAAGTGTAAATTGAACCCCGAACCCTCTTTGGTATTTTCAAATGATTTTTCTGTTTAAATCTTTGAAAATTATAAGTTTTCTTAATTCCTTTAAAAAATTAAGTGGCGACTCTTTTCTAAGTATTTTTCTCAAATTGTTTTATACTTAGAACATTTCAAAAAAGTGATTTTTCTGAATATAGTAAAATTACGACACAACAACAAGTATTTGTAAAAACTTAATGTATTAATATATTAAACAAGATAAAGTATAACAATTTAGCATATGAACACGATAATTTGAAAAATGAATACATTGTTGTTAAACAAAAATGAATACACCAGTATAGTATACATATGAATACATTGTTGTTAAACAAAAGATGGATATGTTTGACAATACATAAACAAAAAAAAATGAAAAATAATAGAATGTGTAGGTAGCAAAAGTGTGCAAGTATTCGGCTGTATAAAAAAATGAAAAAAACCAACAAACGTCAATCTCTTTTTGGTCAAGTTTTTCTTATAATACTTGAGGCTTGGTGTTGACTCATGTATTTGTTTATAAAAAAATAGTATTAATGTATCCAATTATACTTGTATTGCCTAATTAACCTTTCAAATTCGATAGATTACTTATGTATCCAAATATACTTGTATTCACAAATCACCATTTCAACTTGTGTTAATATTAGAATACAAGTATCTATGTATATAACTATTCTACTATATACAAATTTGACAATCACACAAACCTCAATCTCTTTTTGCTCATGTTCTTCTTGTACTACTTTTTTCTTATAACTATAGCCATTGTAATGTAGAAACAAATAATTCTTCAATCGAAAGCCTATAAAAATAGATGCAATATATATGTATACAAATATGATCTTCATAAAAACGAGGAGAAAATCAATTAAGCGATATCTGATGAATTCAAATTACAAAA